TCTAAAGTTATAAGACAATTGTAAGAAGCTAAAGATATTTAATATTTGAAGAGTTTATTTCCAAATACAGTTCACAGAGTATCAATCAAAGAATTCACAGCACATGCTGAAAATTTAAAAATATCCCTTGGAGTAAAAATTCTAAAACACTTCTCAACTAAATTTGAAAAATCAGTATCATTCCTAGTAATGCTATGTTACTGTCTGCTTTCAGTTCCAGAGAAAAATCCAAATATAACAATGGAACAAACATGAAGAAGATCGAAGCAAAGAGGGGAAAGTTAAAGGTGCTCCTTAATCAAATAGAAAAGCAACTCACTTTTATAAGAACCCTGATTAAGTAGGCAAACCATACAAGAATTACAATGAAACGAGTCATGCAAATGGGGCTCCTTCAAATGATGACAAAACTCTGAAAAATCAGAGAATAAGTACCTCAGTAGTGCTTCAGCACAAAATTACAAGCCAACCAATACACTGCTACTACGCCTGGTCACAATGCGCAGAAAATGTGAAACAAGGAACTACCGATTAGGCACACATCTTCACCTAATCGTTTTCATGGTGCACATATCCAGTAACTAAAAGCATAATATACTGACCTTCTATCTGTTATGATATTCTATCTTAGACAATCTAAATGTGTAGATATCTTTGCTGAATTTTTCCTTATTATGCCAGTTCTATGATTCAAACTGGCTGCAAGAGGTTCACTGTGGAACAATCAGGAGGATCTTTTCTTCTGAGAAACTTGCCCTATAAACGTTTCCTCTGAGCAGTACACTCTTGTTGGCCTCCTGAACATCAGAAGGATCTTTGCATAACAATTTCAGGTCAGCAGCACCCATCTTAATCGGCCAATGTAGAGGAATTCTTCTCCGACCGCATGTATCAATTCCAAAAAGCATAGTATACTGACTTTTTACCTGTTATGATATTCCATCTTAGACAATCTAAATGTGCAGATATCTTTGCTGAATTTTTCCTCATTATGCCAGTTTTATGAGTCATTGTACCAAGAAGAAAGATACTTAAACTGGCTGCAAGAGATTCACTTTGGAACAATCTTCTTAGAAAAGTACCTTTTCCTCCGAGAGCAGTGAGATTAATTATTCAAATACCAAATTTAGAAGTAAATTCATAAAACAAATCTAGAATGGAAATCTATTAATTACATAAAGTATTTGCTAGACCAAAAATATTGCCACTCAGAAATGGTTTGATACTTATGAAGTCTTATTACCCATTTCACCAACTATTAAAACAAATAACCAGCAAAAAATATAGAACAAGCAAGAGACTGTAATGAAGTTGAGCTAGCATATATAACAGAATTTTCTAATACATTAAATCTCTGTCTCTAATAGCCTATTCTGGTAAGAAGTTCAAGGGAGGATTACAAAATATGCAGACCCAGAAGACAAATGTTTATACGGCTATATATATATATATATATATATATATATATATGCCATATAAAATTCATCCAAAAAGAAGCATCTTAACCCCAAACCCAAATCCTGTAACAAAAACAAAAGCATCAAGACTAATCATCATCCCTATCCCAATCCCAAGCCTGTAATTCCTTCCCCAGTAAGAAATTAACAAAAGCATCTACACAAGCATACTGAACCTGTTCATCACTAAGCCAGTAAGCCTCCCAATTACTCCTCCGAATCCGACTCGGTTTCTCCGCACCCTCGAAGACCAACAACTTCCTGCGCAACCCCCTCCTTTCCTCGGCAACATCCCGAAGCTCAATAACCCTCGAAACAGAAACTTCATGCACCGATTACCATAACAGAGACTCATCATTGTAATTCCGAACTCCCACAAACGTGTTTCTCTCATCATCGAGGAATCGACGGAGATAGGAGGGAACCGAAGAGGCATGAATGAGTTGAAAAACAAGACAATGACGACCAATGCAGAGTTGCAGGGTGGCGGCTTTAGGGTTACAGGAGGGAAACCATTGAACTCCGAGGCCTATGATAAGTTTGTGTCGGCGAGTTCGGTGTTTGCGAAGGAGATGATGGAGCCAGGATCTTGCGACAGAAGATTTTGAGGTGACTTTGGTGATGATGGAGTAACCGAAGAAGTTGACTGTGAATGTTCTTTCACGATGTGGGTTAGGATCATTGTGGGGTTGTATGTTTATGAACTGATCATTCATGGTGATTCTCTCTATCCTCTGGTTATGGAGTCGAGGGTTTGCAGAGAACTGGTTAATCAAATGCAAATGAAAATCCAATCCTCATATCCATGTATTAGAGTAGAGCTTTATAATTATATGTATAGTAGTTATATAGGAATAATGATTAAGAAGAAAACGTAGTAAACAAGAAAGACCTGCTACTATTACAACTACAGAACATAAAACGACAGCGTTTTATTAATAATATTTATAGTTATATAGAAATAATAATAATTAAGAAGAGACGTTCGAAAATTAGAAAAACCTGCAGTAATAATACAGAAGACGGGACGACACAGTTTGCCGTTTCTTCTCCCCTCTATTATTATTTATTATTTGGCGTATATCTATATACATGTATATATATATATATATTTGTTTCTCTTTTTCTTCTGTGGCGGGCTGGAGTTAGCCCTTGCCGCTGCATATACTATATATATGTATATATATTTTTTATCTTATTTTATTTTCTCCTTTTCTCTCTTCTTTAAATGCAGCAGGAGCCATGTTCTTCCTCCTATTGCATATATTGTATTTTTCTTTCTTTTTTTAACATTTTGTGTGTATATATATACACGTGTATATATATATATATTTTTTTTTTTTTTTCTTTTTGCTTTTCAGCTGCTGCAGCCCACCCTTCCTCTGTCTTTTTTTATATATTTTGTTTTTTTTCTCCCTTTGGTATATATATATATATTTTTCCTTATTTTTTTTGCTTTGCCTTCCCTTTGTATCTACTTTTCTTTGGCATCAGGTGGGAGATATGTATGTATAACTATATCTATATATATATATATATATATTTGGTGGCTTCGGCTCTTTGGTCCCCCTCTTTTTTTAATTCTTTCTAATTTTCAAATTTCATTTTACAAATTTGTTTACTGAATTTTTTTTAATTAATTTTTTATTGAAATATAATGACTTCACAACTCAAACTTTGTGATTTTTGTCCTTTCTAATTTTTATTTTTATTTATATTAATTTAATTATTTATGATTTAATCGTCAAATTAACATAACTACACACGCCAAATATTCGGGTTGTTACGTACTATTTATTTGAGTTATTTATTTAAGTAAAATTTAAATCCGTATGTTCACATTTCTTTTATGCCTCAATAAAACAAGATTAGTTGAAAGTGCACTTGTCTTGGCACTTTCATTTTTTTTTGTAATTTTCTCAAATATAATATCCTTAAATTGTACCATTAATGATGATAAAATTCATATGATTAGAACGATCTTACATCTTAAAATTTCTTTAATTATCATTAAAACTTTAAATTGTACTACTAAAAGACTGAGAATAATTATCATATATATATATATTTTTTTTTTTCAAATCTTAAAATTTGTGTCATTATTTAGCATAAGAATGAAATTGATATTTATAAATATGCTGGAACGGAAGAATTAATTGGGAGAATAACAAACCACAGTTAATACAACATGTGCATTGAACTAAATTATTAAATTCAAATTTCACCTCAAAACATTAAGTACAAACATTGGCCTTTACATTCTCCACGTAAATATCAACTTTTAAATCCGTAGTTTTAATTTAGTAATTAAAAGTTGGCAATAAATTCTTTAAATAACAAATTTTTATTTAGACCGACATAAATTCACATAAAATACCATATGTGTGTATCTCATTCAACTTCTATAGATTCCATCAAATATCATACGAAAGACATACACACAACCATCTCATTTTTTTTTTTAAATAAATCAATGATAGAAGGAGTATTACTTTTTACGACATTATTTTTTTTATCAATTTATTTGAGAATGTTGGACATTCGCATTTAACAACAACATCAAAATTTGAATTTAAAATTTAAAATTTAAAATTTAAAAAAATTATTTAAAATTACATTAGTGAGACATTGTGGGCCATGGATAACACTTTATGGACAATGTGAAACTACCTTAACAAATGTTAGGTGTCGCGACGTCGCTCTTAACTTTAAGTGACCAAGTTATAAATTTATTTTTAAACTCAATGATATAATTTCATAATCGTTAAGTAATCAAAAAATCACAACACGAACCGTTTTAAAGAATCTATATTTACGGAGTACGCCCACAAGCATGAATAATAAAAGAATATATTTCTAAACCAACACTCAAATGATTTAACATAAAAAGTTGTTCTACTATATCTTACAAAAATAATTTAGGGATATCAAACTTTAGGGGTAGAAGATACTTTTCTAGCAAATCATAGGAGAGATATTAAAGCAAAAATATGTACGGATTCATAAAAGAATGCCGGTGTGTGTTGGCTTTGTAGTTTTTGATATCTCATTTTGATATATAGAAAATTTTTAATAAAGAATGAAAAATATATATATATATATATATTTTTTCTAATGATGAATTTTTAAATAAAAAATATTATTTTTTATTAGTTAAAAACTAATTATTCTTTTAACTTTATAATTTTTTTCAATTTTTAGTATGACCCATATATATATAAATAAGTTTGATAACTTTTTGAGACGTTATTAATCAATTTCCGAAAAGTTTTAGATTAAAAAACTCTTTAGCCGATGAGTCAGACACCATAGAAAACAAGTTTATATTATTAAAGCAGTCGTCAACATTCTTATAACACTGATCTTAAAAAAAGGATGTCGAAGCTCTATAAATTTCGGTTTCTACACTTTCTGTTTTGCCATTTTTTATTTATTGCTTTTAATTTATTCTAAAAGTTCAATTTAGTGTTAGTTTGTCCAAATAATTATTCCAAGTGAAAAGATTTCAAAACTCACTTCACCTTCTCTCTCTTCCGTTTAGGCCCAACATTTTCTCTGTATCAAAATTCAACAACCATGGAGTTCTTAGACGAGGACGCCAGACCTAGATTCCTCTACCAATCTCGTCCTGTCCCGTCTTCTCCCCACACTGATGATCAAAATCCCTCAAAGCCAAACAGGCTATATCTCTCCATTTTCCTCTCAATTTGTCTCCTTCTCTTCTTTCTCTCCCTTTTTTGTCTCCATAACGAGCCTTTCAAATCCCTCCTCATCTGGATCTCTCTATCCTTTCTCCTCGGCCCTTTTGCCCCATCCTCCCTCACCGGAGGTCACATTCGCGTCGGTCATGGTCCGATCCTCGAACAAGAATTCCCCGACCTCCAAACATCGGAAATAGATTCGGAATCGAAGAAGAAACCCGTCTACAAGCGAACAAAGCCGCAGAGATTCGAGTATCCGCTCGAGATTCCGTCGCAAATTGTCGAAAGCGCGAACAAGTCTTTGAAGAAAGATGGAAAAAGTGAATATACGAGTAGTGATAATGTGTTGGTGCGAAGCGAGGAAGAGGAGTGGAGTGAGGAGGATATGGAGATGTTGAAGAAACAGCTATTGAAAAATCCTGTAGGGAAGCCGGGAAGATGGGAGGTGATCGCCAAGGCGTTTAAGGGCAGATATAGAGTGGAGACTGTGATTAAGAAGGCGAAGGAGATGGGAGAGAAGAAATTGGATGATAGCGACGCATATGCTAGGTTTTTGAAGAATAGGAAGCCATTGGATACCAAAATTCACGAGACTGCGGATGACGGTGGAACCAAGAAAGAGAATGGCCGGGTTGGTGATGGATCAGAGTGGAGCTCAGGGGAGGATATTGCGTTGCTAAATGCCCTGAAAGCGTTCCCTAAGGATGTGCCGATGAGGTGGGAGAAGATTGAGGCCGCTGTGCCGGGAAAGTCCAAGGCGGCTTGTGTCAAGAGAGTTGCAGAGTTGAAAAGAGATTTCAGGAGCGGCAAAGCTGGTGCTGAGAGCTAGAAAAGTGCTCAGATTTTGTTCCCGTTTCTACTTGAGGAGGTATTTTCTTTACCTATACAGGATGGTTTTAGCAGTTTCATTCCTGGTTTATATTTGAGTTTTAAAGTGGAATTACGCATAATTCAATCTTAGAACGTGGTTCCACGGGCATTATTTTATTCTCACAGAAAAGAATTTGACATTTGGAAAAAATGAGATGTTCTCTATGTTGGTTGATCTTTTACCCTGTATCTTATTTCATTTGCTCATGAGAAACTGAGATGAGCTAATCACTAACTGGTTAAATGGCTAGTTGGCTTGTAATTCTTGCTTGTCTGTGCCAATACAAGAACTTTTCGCTTGTGCTTAATTCAACAAAATGATTTGTTTTTCTGTCTTGATGTTTCTTTTCCCATGTCTTACTATGTTACGCCTCTGAATTTGTCATTGTTGTTTAACTTTGCTTGAGCCTGTTGTGGGAGTTTCCAATGAATGTCTATATATAATTTCTATTAAGGGAAACCCTGTGTTTTGAAGTACCATGTATGGCTTTCTAGAGTTACCTAATTTCACCGCGTATAACTCCATTTTGTTACTATCTTTAGCTATATTTTCTGTCTTTAGCAATTAGAGTTAGTATTACGTGCTATCATTTTTACTGAATTTGACAATATTTTCTTAGTATTTTCCATTATCAACCATTACAGTCTTTGTTATTTTTGTTACTGTCTTTGGCTATTATTTGTAGTATCGTGTGTCTATAATTTGATACCATATATGGCCATCCATGATTGCTGATGGCTATTTACTGAATTTTATTTGACATTCAACCATGGCTATTGGTATTCAACAAATTGTGATGGATATATGTTGTAACAAATGGTAGGTAAAAAAGTAATAACTGATTATCAAAGATAGTACCTATTCATAATGAAAGACAATAACAATATAGTCATGTTGTGAAGAAGATAACAATAGTTGTTAAAGATGATAACAAATGATAGCCAATAATAGTTAATGATAATAACGAATGATAGCCAGAGATAATAAGAACTTAATAATCAAATATTATAACAATGAATAGCAGAAAATAGTAACAAAAAGATTGTAATATATTGTAATGTACCAGTACCTCAAGATACTTTGAGAATCAGGCTTGATTAGTCTGGAGTAAAGAGAAGAAAGAATCATAACATTGCAGAAATAGTTGGGCACACAACATATTAGTTTGTGGTTACATTTCCATAGGTTGATTATAACGTACAATAGAAAGCTTATTCTTTCTAGACTTTATACATACAAGTTCTTTTCATATTTCATGAGGAAATTGAGGTTTGATCTTAAATGCACAGACTACAATTTATTGACCTTAATCTTCTAAATTGTAGTATAGAAAATTCTGATATAGAAACTTGCAGACATTTGTAATTCTGCATTTGGTTGAATGCTGATTTAATTTCAATTTAATTCATAGTTTCGTATTGGTCTTAATATGCATAATTAGAGTATTACTTATTGTGTATGAGTTATCACCACCATTATCCCGAATTTTGTGATGATGAGAATTTAACTCTTCACGTGAAAAGTAGGAATTAGTCCTTACCATAAAGGAATTCTAGGTGAAGTGATAAGTTAAACACATTAGGTTCTAACTATGCACACTGAGAAATTTGTGAGTGGGTCTGCAGTGTTGGAAAGAGTATGGTAATTGGTAAGTAGTTGTAGTACAATTTCTTTTATGCATTATGAACTACAACTATTTACTTTGTCAAGAAAAGAAGTTGTAGCATAACTAGGTATCACTATGCAAGGTGAATTTTTACATGTTTCAGGTAGAACAATCTATATCTATGGACAAAACTTTATGAATAAACCGAGTATTATAGAGGAGCAGAGAACCAATATAAACACCTGGATGTAGTAAATGATATACCTTCTAGCTATAATAGCAAATAGCAAATGCTACCAAAGTGTCAATTCACATGGTGGAATTCAATATATATTTTGTAGTTAATAGTTTTCACAATGGCATAATAGCTATAGGGAAAGCAGGAAAGTTTGAGAAAGCATTTAATGCTCACATGCACATATCATAAATTTCTCTCAACTAAGCTGTGCATTTTCAGCAATAAACCTCTTGGACATATAAAGATGTATGTATTTGATATTGTCATTAAATTATAAATGACGGTTGCATTCTCGCCTCTCTTTTATTTGTTACTGTAATTTTCTTGCCCTTGAATTTTATCAAGGTTTTTTTTACGGGAAGGATGTAAAATAGTAAACTAGTGTAAAATAGTAAACTAGTTTCGAGGATTACTTGATGGACATTTAAATATGCCCATGGAGTGAGAAGTGAGGAATTGAAGACTTCAGCATAAGAGTACTCATGTTTAACAACCTAGGGAGATTTTTGTAATTAACTTTTGACTGAAGTTAATTCACATTAATCCGAGATCTTTCGAATAGTGTGATGAATGTTATAACTTATTGAAGAAATTGGTGGTATAATAAAAGTGGGATCTAATTTAAAGATAGAAAATTATCAAGTCTTTAGGTGATGAATGCAAGATATTTCCTATTAGACCATGAGTTGGAAGGAAATGGCACATTTCAATAGTCCTCCAAATGTGTGATGTACCTCAAAAGTTTTATCTCATGAAGATAGTGTTTTGTGCCACATTGAGTTCATATTGAGGCTATATCTTAATTTTATTTGCACAGAATGACTTTGAAAGGGTGTACCATTTGCGTTGTACCAAGAAAATATAGAGTTTAAAATTATATGCGAAAATGTATTCTTGGTACCAAGAAATTATATGGCCTTTTGATGGATTGGTTAAAGAAATTGAAATAGTCTTTATGGAACTTACATTATATTGATTAGAGTTTCATCCTCCATCAATTCTCCCAAGTCTTAAATATAGTCTAATAGAAACTGACTTTTTCTTTTTTGTGCTACGATATTGGTAGGATCACCTTTGGAAACCCATATTTTAAAGATAATCCACCATGTTTATAGATTTCATAATTAAAGATAGATTTGAATGACAATTCAATCACTAATAATTATGAATCCCTCTCGAAAATAATTAACTCGCTTGTTATTAATTTTGATGTGCTAATTTTAAAAATAAATTTGACTAATCTTGAAGATTTTGGAGAACACAAAGAAGCTTAGAAATTCTAACGGCTTGGTGGTGTCATAATCTTGAAAGCCTAAACTGAAGCCCAGAAAAGAATGGGAAGAAGAATGGCAAGGACATGTGAGAGAAGATTGACTAGAAAGATTTAAAAGAAAATTGGTAAAAGAGAAGACAGAGAGGGAACTTACAAGGGAACACTAGATTGTAAAAGAGGGACAACAATATGATATTATGTATCTTATATTGATAGAGATAAATCTTTTAACTAACAATTGATATCATTTTACTGGGTTCTTGGAGACACCTAATGACTAATTTGACCAAGGTTCATTAGAATAACTCCAGTCTCTTAATACTAAAATATAACTTATTTCATATAAGTTAAACTATGATGAAACTAAATTTAAGAGAACAACTCCTGCTATACTATTATGTTTAGACTCTCACTTGACACATAATAAAACTCCATGCAAAAATACTAATATTTAATAAGATCGTAGACTTCCTTATGACATTGCAATTTAGGATAACGACCTCATAAGGTTGCTTTATATACTCTGCAAACTTTTAATGTATACACTTACAGAAATATTAGTACAGATTAAGTCTTTGTTTATCTTATCAAAATCGATGCATTTAGTTCAACAAGAACGACATGCACGTAATGAAATTTTATTCATTTAGTACACCTCATGTAACATCTGGGTCCGAAAATTTGGTCCGGGATAATTTAGTATTAATAGAATAATAAATTAAAATAATTAAAATTTTAAATTTTTAATGAATTTTTGAAGAAAATTTGGTTTTGGATGTATTTAAAAATATTTTCGAAAATCAAGACCAAAGTAGAAATAATGGAGGACTTATTTGAAAAGAAATATGAAAAATTGGAGTAAAAATGAAATTAATGAAATTTTGGCCACATGAACCACCATGTCAGCAACGCGGCCGGTCTCCGTGCACCGTGTGGAAGGCACATGGACATGCGTCCACGGAGGCTATCTGTATGCCAACAGATCTAAAGTTCAGATCGCATCCCGCGCGCACGGACGACCCAGATCCGTTTCCCCTTCAGGTGTGATTGAACAGCTGGATTTGATCAAATCGTGCGGTCCAGATTAATTCTCCAAATAAGAGCGATCCAACGGCTGAGGATGAGCTACGTTTATTTGAATGGACAACTCAGATTTAATGAAGAGGAGTATTTAAACTCCCATTCATAAGAAACCCTAACCCTAACTGCTAAAGAGGAGATCGAAGAAGAAGAGGGGCGGCCGAAAAGTGAACTAGTTGTCGGAGAAGAAGATCGACAGCCATCGTCGCCGGACTGGAGCCACTACCGATGCCGAAAAGGTGAATTTTTTTTCCTTCTGTTTGAAATTGAATTTCGAACCTTCCCACACCCATATCAGAGCCAAAAAGCCAAAGAGTGAGCTAGAAAATGGGAGCGGAGCTTGACCGAGCCGCTGCAGTCGCGACTTGAAAACCCCTCGAATGAGCTCCTTACCGTTTCCTGTTTCTCTCACCTTTTTGACTTTCTTATTCCTCATCTCATTCTGTTGCAGGTTAGCCGAAAGGAAGCCCCAATCGCAAGAAAAGAACGGTGGAACCACTGCTCCGAATAATTCTTTCACTAGTAGGGTCTCGGTTCTTTCATTTTTCAGCCAATAAAGCTCTCTAACCCTGTTGTTTGTAGGTTTTCATGCAAAATCGGCAAAAAACAGTCAGACGGAAAGGAAGTGCCGCCGTGGGCGACAGAGTCGGCGGCGGAGCTTAGAGGCGGCGCCGTGCCGGAATCCTAAACAAGTCAAAAAGATTTTAAAATGCTCATTTAGGCATTTTTAGGGTATTTTATAATACGTAACGTGTTTTTTTGATTTTCGCATAAAAAAGTTGCGAAATCCGAGAACCGCTAGAAGGTGCAGTAAAAAAAAAATAATGTTTCAAATACCGATATGGGGTAAGAATCTCTCATCCTTTCCTCCCGTTACAATAAATTAAAGTTTAATAATTAATAACAATATATTTTGTAAAAAATTAGAAATCTCTAAATTAATTACAAGTCACTAGTGGAGCCGAAATCAGTCAGTGTATATTTGCCTTAGTTGTGTTGTCTATTTATTCCTATACTGCCTAAATTGCTTTTATTTATTGATTTAAATTACTTTCTCATTCATTAATTGCTGGCTGATTATTCTCACTTATTGACTGATTCGAAAAAAATGCCCTAATCACGTTTTCTTGATT